GGGGGATGGGGGGGGGATTGCTGACTTTTTTATTCCTCCCTTAGAAGCCCAATAAATCTTTTAGTTTAATCAACTAAATGCATTCCAAGAGCATCAAAAAAAGAGGTGCATAAAGTCTAACAATTTGTTTTCTTTACAAAGCAGCCATAGAGTACACAAGCCTGTCCTCTGCAGAAAGCAAGCGTTGCTCGCTGTGCTAAAGCAGTGGTCTCTCTGCCCAGGTAAGACCTGCCTCCTGCTGAGTCAGAGCTAGAGTTCTCCAATCAAAGCATAAGCCTTAATGACTGCAAAGCTATAGCTCTGATACAGCAGGGGCCAGACCACTGGAAAGTTAAATTGGGCTTTCATTTTTTTTTTATTGAAGTTTTGTGTCTTCCAGTTCATCTCTGCGTGGGCTTGGTATAATGAAAGCAAGGTATTTATAGAACGGAGATTATGTGTAAATCTGAAAAGCTTTGAAATGCATCTTTCTTAATCGACAGCGAGGCGGAGGTGTGAGGATTAACAGATAAAGGCCTTACCTGACTTTTCCTTTGGTGTTTCGAAGAACAGTTGCTGCAAAGTTCTGAGTGACGCCAACAAGACTAATCCCATCCACTTCCAAGATCTGATCGTTGACGAGGATCCTGAGAACGCGTACAAAGTCATGATCATTACAGCCAGCAACAGAAAAAAGTAAATTAAAACAACAACAAACAGAATAAACAAAACTAAAGTTATTGTCATCATTGAAAGGCCTCTAAGTTGATGAGTCGGGGTACAATTAGAAGACAATTATTACATTATTACAAGTAATAAGGTGAAAAGTTCTGGCTATAAACTTCTCTGCCCTAACACATTGGATTTTCTCTTCGCATGCATCTCTTCACCGTGGTCTTCGTCCATTAAAAGCAGTGGCCCCAAAAAAGTCATGTCATTGAGGGACATTGAGCCTACACAGAGGTAAGTGCAACTGGTACCAATGCTGGGGGAACACCCACTGACACCAATGATAGTGACTCATTCCTCCCACTGACCACTGACATTGCGGCATTTATTACTTCAACTGATGCCGAAACATCTACTACCTGTAACTGTTGTATAAAAGGTACAAATTAATTAAATGTAATTAATTTAATTTAAATAAAGCAGTTCCGTATTTATAAATACATGATTAAAAGTATTTTTCTGAATTACAGTGTAGGTGCCTGAATTTGACCTGGTAGCTGTACAAGGAACCATTCACTGACATAGTGCATGCTGCTAGGAGGAGAGATTAGAGTGACAATGACATCAGCACCTCACTGTGCTGCATCTCCTTTTATTGCCCAGTCACAAGTTCGGGACGGGCCCATGATGGCCTGGGCTCATGGCTGTCATCCAACCCAGAACACCGAGGTCATCTTGTGGTGGAAAGGAAGTACTGTGGGAGATAGCTCCAGGATGAAGGTGGGTATTGTAACAACAGCTGCTTTTTATATTTTAAACGTTCTTTTCATTTTTTTAGGCTGAAATTAAGTGTGCATAAATTCCCGGATTATTTTCTCAGATCTGATGATTGTTTTTTAAGTGGCTTTGTTGCTTAAAACATTTCTACAAAAATCACTCTGTAATAGAAAACCATCAAGGGCTCAATCACAGCGGAGTGATGTGCGAATCACACGTTACCATCCATTTAGCGCACACACAACCCACCCAGGTACCATGCACTATGTGCTTTGTGTTTCCATTCGTTGCAGTGGCACACCAATGCACCTCCCAGCGACTGTGCATTGCAGCTGCAGTGCTGTGGGAAATGTAGGGCATGCACTGCACTGGTCCCTAATACTTACCTATCCCACCACCCATTCTTATGAACTTCGCTCTCTTCCAGAGAAATGGCCTTTTCATATCCAGTAGACTTCCGAGTATGTGTGATACTTGGTCTTCTGCTGTGTCCTGTAGTTCTATCCACCAGTCCTACGTCACTGGAGGATATAGGAGTGATGTAGGGATCAGCAGAGAGAACCACAGCACATGGCGGGGAACACAACCATCCAACACTTCTGTAGAGTCAAATGTTTAAGATCCTGCCGGAGACTGGAGCTCTTGACCAGATCAGGTGGTGGGATAGGTGAGCATTATCGGTCTTCTATTAGAAGATACCTTTTAGAGTAAGTTTTCCCTGGCGACAGAGTACTTTTAAAGCAACCCTGCCATAAAACTAAATTTGCAACGAAACAGTGCTCCTCTAAAGGTGAAAGAGGATACTTGACCACTAAACTCGGCTGTGTTCTAAAGAAATCCACTGCTGAGGTATTTCGGAACCAATTTCTGGGAGTGTTGATCTGCCCAGAAGTCAATCTGCCCCCTGTGTTTGCTTGAGCTGACCTCTATAGCAATTATTTGTCATGTAATGATATGGGGGTCCAATGGAAGAACCACTGCATAGAAATTCTAGGAGGAGGGGTCATCATGGTGACTACAGTGGACCATATCTGCGTAATGTCTGTTGAAATGACCAGTTGTAGTCACCATCAGATACCCATGTGACAGTGACAACACTGATCTTACCAGAAGTTGATCTGCCCCCCCCTCCCTATTCTCTTCTCCCCATGTGTGCTTAAGCACACATGGGGGTCCAATGGAAGAACCACTGTACAGAATTTCTAGTGAAGGATGGGGTCATCATGGTGACTACAGTGGACAGTATCTTCGTAATGTTTGTTGAAATAACCAGTTGCAGTCACCATAAGAAGCCCAAGGGTATCCACCGACAACGTCATATGGATGTCACCCTACCACAGGAAGTGCCTGAACAAGGACCTTCCTGGGAGGATCACCAGTTATTGTTTCAACTAAAGCTGCAGATTTCATAGCACTGACTTTTAAAACAACTTTAACTTGTTACAGATGATATGAGATTTTCATGATTGGGTTTACATGTACTTTAATCTGTATCAGCTTTAGGCTTTAGAAAATAATAATTATTATGTGAAAATGTTGAAACAGGTTTGGAATAAATAAAAGGATTTGATAACACTGGTAAATGGCATTCAAATCCATTAAATTTAAACTGTTTCTTCAAAGTATTTAATTGTGTGTAAATGTACCATATCCTATTATAATTCTATCTCATGATGTGTGAAGTATATTTATTGAAAACTATTTCTTACTAGTGAGATCTGTTTGTTTTTTTTTTTTTTAACAGGAGGGAGCAGGAAGGAGTCTTCAATGGATCTTTGATGGCTTTAGAAGCTGAAATGACCACATTGTAATGGATATAAAAACATATTTGATCGAGCTCAGTAGTGCATTTATTAAACCATTTAAAGCAAGGCCGTCTTTAATGCAAGGCAAAAGGGGCAGTTGCCCCAGGGCCAGTCATTGCTGTGGGGCCAAAAGCAGCTGCCCCTTGAGCCAGCAAAAGATACACATGGGTACCGTTCTGTTTAATATGCAATTGGCATTGCATACTGTTGTTCTGCCCCTGCCGTACGCTGTGCAGCGTGGCCTTGTGACGTCACCTCTTAAGCTGGCCATACACCTATAGATTATCTGCAGACTTGCTATGGTCAGATGGAAAAAGTGCAACGGATTCCTCCATCTTCGCTAAACTGTGTGGACAGAGGAATCTCCCGCTGGGCCAAGCTTCAGTATCATGCTAGTCGGCCCCGCTGGCTGTCAAAACACCTGAACAATGCCTGCATCCAATCAGATTATTCAGGTATTTTGTGAGCCAGCGGGGCTGACTAGCAAGGTACTAAAGCTTGGCCCAGTGGCAGATTCCTCCATCCACACAGTTTAGCGAAGATGGAGGAATCTGTTGCCCTTCTTCCATCTGACCATAGAAAATGTGCAGAAAATCTATAGGTGTATGGCCAGCTTTACGTGGGGTCACGTCTCCCTTTGAGATGTCTTCTTTTATCTGCTCCTATCGCATGGTATAGGGGCGGGGCATGGTGGGTAGGAGCGGGGAAGGCTAAAATAAATGTTTGGCCAGGGTGCAATCATTATTAAAGACAGTCCTGATTTAAAGGGAAAATCCACTTTCATTAAAAAATAATAATAAAATATAGTATTGCTTGCTACACAAAATGAACTTTCCATTTCAATTTCAAGCCACTGAAATTTTCTAAAATTGTTCCAAAAATGTGGCAACCTAAAGGCGTTCCGTAAGCCGCTGGTGTACAGAACACCCTCAAAAAGTGCAATTTCCTGCTTGCGCGATTGGCTTACAGATTATCCCAGAAGTCTGCACCAAGAAGTAACATTTTAGGCATCCTCTGCAAATAGAACTTCATGTTTACTTAGATATTCCCTAAGTGTTAGTTTCTTCTAATGGGATGCAGATATTGCAACTTTCCTCACTAGAACACAGAGAGTGCACCAGACCCTCCCATTCAGGAATCAGGAATCAGTCTGGAAAGGATATCTGGAACGGGCAGCTATTTCCTCAGTAGGTAGGAATCGGCAACAAAGTTTCTGCAAAAGGCTGATATCAAGTTCAATTATGTAAAAACTGCTAGAACGCTGTCTAAAACAGGGGTGGGTGACATGTTGCCATACAGGTGCCCTTTTCCTACACAGCAGTGGGAGCCAAACTTCAGCCCTTCAGCTGTTGTGGAACTACAAGTCCCATGAGGCATTGCAAGATCGACACAAGATCCTCCCCGCTGTGTAACCTGTCATGGACGGAGGAATTACGGGAAGCGCTGCTTCCGACTTTTGACAGGTAGCGGGCTTCCCCACTGTTTGTGTAACCTAACTTGGTGAGGCAAGAGCCTCTACTCTGTGTTAGAGGCGTGAGCTCTGTGGATGGCTTGGATCAATGGCAAAGTGCCATTGGTCCAAGCTGTCCAATAAAAAAAAAACATTGAGGCCATCGATCTGGATGCCTCAGCAGTGACGAGCAAGTGAGGGACAGGGAGGCTCCTCCCTATCCCCTCCCTTCCTCCTCCCCACACAGCTTGGTTACCGAGCTGGGGGCGGGACTTCAACAGGATGGGGCAGAGCTACAGTGGGACAGGGGGCAAAGTTTCGGCAGGCTGGGGGATGCCTCACCCAGCACCAAGGCACGGCCCGTCACTGCTGTGTTATGGTGCTCGATCACAGTGCAAGATACAGACGGGTAACAAGCAAAAATTTTGGAATGACATTCGTCAAGTCTGTTAATGATCTGATGAGATTCTTCATATAAACATTCGTACGAAAATCTAGCAGTGCATGGCCGGCTTTACTGGCAGTCTCACTACTCCCTGCTGCAATCTCCATCATTTAAATATAAATAAATTAAATGTCTACGAAGAAGAGAGAGACCCTTAGGCAAGTCTGGGGGTAGGGGGTTGGGATTACAGGTGCCAGACATGCCTCTTTCAGCCAGGAACACGAAATAAAATATTAACAGAATCATTTCATTTTTATAAGCAAAATGTCTGTACAATTTTATTATAGCTTTATAAAAAATATGCCAAAATGCTAAACAATGGCCCCTTCCCTTCCTCCCTGTCTATTGCATTGGTACAGAACCAGAAATCTAACCCAGAAACATATACAACAAATGAAAAAAGTACTGAAAACCACTCAACAAACCTTGATTGCCCCTTATGATAAAAACATGGAAACATCCCACATGTACTCCCTGCAGGGTATGTCTCTTCACTTGTAACTCCTCAATAATGCAACATATATCATGCTGAATGATACATTATTCATCCGATACGGCCATGGTTATGACTCCATGCCTATTAACTCTGACACACAGTTCCAAATCCTTGTACGGTAATAGCTTAGGGCCCCATTTATAAAGCAGTGGTTTGGCCTTACCACGACCATATTGCTGCCCATTCATAAAGGCCAGAGGTTCTCTTTACAAGTGTGCATTGCGCTCCACTTACTTTGGGATTCTGAAGCTAGCAGGGGAAGAAAGCCGGGTAACGTGACCCATCTAAAGTTATGTGATAGGCTTCTACTCCTATTACAGATTTCCTCTGCAATGTTAGGCAGGCTTCACACTGCGGCCTGCATTTTATAAATGACTTGTAAAATGTATGAAGCGGGTGGAGTAAAACTGTGGTGTCCAGCAGCAGATAACATATCCACTCTTTGCTATAAATAGACTCCTAGAGGTCACCATTAAATAACATTCCTTGACACACCAATTGCTAAACTTGACAGGTCTTAAGCAGTCTAACATAGCCCCCTGAACAGTCACACGTACTGTGCTCCAATCAATCACCAACTCCACCCAGAAATGTTTTTACCCCTTGCAGTGGGGATAGCCCGCACTGCAAGGGTTACCTGCGCATCTCCCCCCTATCCTCGGATCCGGCAGTGCTCCCTCCAGCCTGTCTTTTCCTCCGCTGCAGTCCCTCGGTGTCCTCACATCCTATGCACTGTAATGGACGTGATGACTGGAGGATTCCTAGACCGCTGCAAAGGAGTTGGAGAGATGCTCCAGGGACCGCAATGTGGGGGGTAGCCCCACTGCAATGGTTAGTCAAATGTCTTCTTGAAGCAATGTGCAGAGGCTTAGCGTAGGCTCCAGGGGTTTGTTTCAACCTCCTCTTGCTGCGGAGTAACCTCCTCTAAGCTACCAGCAGGGGGCGCTGCTGAGAAATGCTATACTGGTTCTGCATTGGGTTGGATAATTAGCTTTTCTCATAAGAATGCCAAAGCTGGCCATACACCTTACAATTATCTGCAGATTTTCTGTGGTCAGATGGAAAAGATGCAACAGATTCCTCCATCTACACTTAACTGTGTGGATGGAGTAATCTCCACCTGGGCCAATCTGTTGCACTTTTTCCGTCTCACCACCGAAAATCTGCAGATAATTGTAAGGTGTGTGGGCACCTTAAGAAGCAGCTGGGGTAGGATGGAAACAGATCCCAGGAGGCTCTGGTCTGTCAAACCAAACATGGTAAAAGATACAATTACATTTTAGCAGGCACTTAAAGTGACCCTGCCACTACATGAAAAATAGTTAAATCAGAGGGAGCAGTGGCGTAACAATCACCCAGGCGGCCGCTATGGGGCCCGAGGCACGGCGGGGCCCGGCCAGGACATCTCCCTGATGCCGTGCGGGGGCCGCCTGGGTCGCTATGGCATCTTGCTCAGACAGCCAGGCTGCTGGCTGTCACTGGCGGCTGTGAGGAGGAACGCTCCGTTCCTTCTCACAGCCGCTGCTGAGTTGGTGACAACCAGCAGCTTCGCAGGAGGTGGCTGGGCCCGTCATCTGCAGTGATCGGGGGGCGGGGCCCGGTGATCGAGGGGGCGGGGCCCGGTGATCGAGGAGGCGGGGCCCAGTGACGGAGGAGTCGATCCTGGAGAAGATGGAGGGGGACAGAGGATCAGGGCTGACAGGTAAGAGGGCTTGACCGCCCGCCTGAGACCCTGCAGAGCCCACCATAGAGATTCTATGGTGGGCTCTGCAGGGTCACCCTTAGGTGGGCTGTTTGGGTTATCAGGTGGGCGTAACTAGAAATCACAGGGCCCCATACAAAATTTTGCTATGGGGCCCTTTGATTTCTAGTTACGCCCCTGAGAGGCAGCCTGTAAAATATCAGTTTTATTGGCAACTCTAATCTTTAAACTCTTCAGGAGCTACATCCACCACTAGTATCCAACACTTAGGGTGTGTTAGATGCTGCATTTTTCGATACATGCTGCGTGCAGTCTGCCTTTTGCTTTAGTTACTGCAAGAAACATGGTTGCTTTAAAGGACGAACACTAAGGGGCTGATTTATAAACCGTCAAGCAAAACAAATGACAAACGCACTCATCAATTCGTTAACAGGTTTACAGCAAGGGGCACATGGAAGGGCTTCAAACAGTAAAACATAAAAAAGTTTCCAGGCATACTCACCAGCCAGCATGCAAAAAACCTGTCTAACCACTAAGGTTAAAAGCAGAGGTTTGGGTATACGTCTTCTGCAGAAAATGTGAAAGCCGCACATCCACGCCAAGGCACCTCTTATAGTGCGGTCCAACTCTAAACTATGAGAGTCCCCCATCTTGGAGCACATGGGGCAAAAGATTAAATTGGGTGCAGGTTCTTCTGCCCCATGTGCTCCAAGATGGAGACTCTCATAGTTTAGAGTTAGGCACTATAAGAGGTGCCTTGACGTGGCTGTGCGGCTTTCAAATTTTCTGCAGAAGACGTGTATCCAAACCTCTGCTTTTAACCTTAGTGGTTAGACAGGTTTTTTTGCATGCTGGCTGGTGAGTGTGCCGGGAAACTTTTTTTCTGATTTATAAACCGTTTGCACAGCTCTTTGCTGTGTGAATGAGATTTGCAGTGTTCTATGGCCACTAGATGGAGGCATTGCGCACAGGAAATTCCTATGATCCTCAGTTCCATCTAGTGGCTATACAACACTGCAAATCTGGTTTGCACAGCGAAATGCTGTGATATTGGTTTATAAACGAACCCCTAAGTTTTCTTATTAACATTTATTTGTAGTTTTCCAACTCCCACTTGCTCAAAGGCAGATGTTTAATCAGACTGCTGGCAGCCCCATCAAGACGCTTCTTACCGTCCATCTCTTTGAGCTGCCCCTCCTTCTGTGACTGTCTTAACGAATATTCCAAGTTTCTCCAGGCCTGTGTCAGCGCCAACTCCCATTCCGATAATGCTAACACCGAGACCGTCTTCATCTGCAAAAGGAATTGGGGTGACAGCAGTGAGTATTCGATCTTATTATCCCGAGAAGAAAAATATGACACATACAGTAAAGCAAAGAGTGAGATTTATAAAATTGGACGGCAGGGTTCAGGTTCTGTGATAGGCACTGATAGGCCAAACGTTTCCTTATAACTTGTGGGAAGAATGTGGAGGGGTTACAACCTCTGTCAGCCAATGTTTGTGGTCATTTAGATTTCCCATCACTTCCTGTTCTGTTGCCTGGACAGGAAGTGCAGGGAAATCTCCCCAGTGAGAACATAGCAGTGAAAACACAATTGATTATAAATCGGCCGATTTAAAAAAACTATATAAAATATTTTGGCTGGAGCTTCAAATGTATGTCTCTTCTCTATTTTTAACAATATTTCACTTTTTTGTCCCGTTGATCACACGAAGGCCCTATGTAAACTGAGACAAATGCGCTTGGGAATCATCTAGATCTGTTGATGCCAGTTGTGCACGGTGCAGCATACAAGAGCATCTGGAATCTACCTTTTTGCACTAACCAAACCCACATAAAACAATATTAGTGTTCTAAAACGTCTATATATAAAACATATCTAATCATCTTCTCATCTTCCTTGCATAGGCAGAGGTCACGTTTTGGCCGAATCAACAGCAATTTCATTGTACTTGCATAAAATGCCCTGAGCCGGGGAACAAAAAAAAAGAAAACGAATGCAGTCACCACCTGCACGCAATATATTACAATTTGTTCTTGGGATTAGATACACTTTGAAGTATAAGCCTTCATGGGTTTAAAGCAGGGGTCTCAAACCTACGGCCCTCCAGCTGTGGTGAAACTACAAATCCCATGATGCATCTCTCTTCGGGAGTCATGTCTGTGGCTGTGAGAATCTTGCAATGCCTCATGGGATTTGTAGTTCCACCACAGCTGGAGGGCCGGAGGTTTGAGACCCCTGGTTTAAAGGAGAACTATGAGTCGAGTGATTTCCACTCACCTCATAGTTCTAGCCGACCCATGACAATGAGACTGTCACAGGTCGGCTCAGTAGATCGGGAGGTGAGCGAACACATACCGGGTTCGCTCACCTCTCGATCCTGTCACGGCTCTCTGCCGTGACAGGGGGAGGGGCTGGATCCCCCTCTCCCCGCTCCGATCTGCCAGCGCTGACTGGCGGAACGGACGGGGGAGGGGGCGGGTACAGCTGGCTCTGCCTCTAGATAGGCAGAGCCAGCTGTCACTCACGCAGCTGGGCGGATCCCGACGTCCAGGTTGGGATCCGCTCCGGCTGCGGCGTCTCAGTATACCGCGAGCTGTAGCTCGCGGTATACTGAGCTTAGGGTAACGGGAGGACGCTAGTTTGTGTCCTCCCGTTACCCTTAGGAGAACTATGGGGAAAAACACTGACCCCATAGTTCTCCTTTAAAGAATAACATATAGAATATAAATATGATTTTGGGTAAATGTGACGTATTACAAGTAAATAAAGACTGTGCAAAACACGGCAGGCCTTTACGGGGTTAACAATTAAAGGAGGACTGAAGAAACATACAAAGGAGACGGTATTCTCAGCTGAAAGCTGGAGGACAAATAATATTGGAGATTTAGGAAGATTATTCATTAAAAGAACCAGCAGATAATGTGTAAAGCCGCGGCCTTGTCTAGTACCACGTTGCCCTTTGTAGGGAGGACGACGAGACTGCAGACTAATGTTCCAGATTAAATGTCACTTGCTGCAGCTTGTTCTCTGGAATTGAGGCTATTAAAGAAATATTCATCATTGCCACACCACTGTGTTCTACCACGGACTGCTCACTGCAAAGAATCTGCTCATGGTGGAAACCAACGGTGTAAACAAAGGAGATAAAAATGGGTAAGATGTAAACCATATCTAAACCCAAAACCAAAAAAAATGTGATATACTAGTCCTAAGATATAAGGTGGCTGCATAAGTTTCTTGTTTTAAATTATACAACAGACCAAAAATTTGGACCTACATCGGATAAATTTTATAGAGATGTTTGCAAAAGATAAAAAAAGATAACAGGAGGAAAGAGGGGTAGATTAATTCAATTTTTTTTAAAGGACTGTCCCTTAAAGGGCTTGTTCACACCAAGTGCAGAGCAGTTACAGAACACATCAAAAATGCATCCAATGTATTCTGATGGTATTTTGGGCTCTATTACACACCACAGCGTTCAGTTCCAGAGTATGTGGAAAAACTGCAGCATGTACTATTTTTTCTGCTCTGATACCAGGGACAGTTGGGAACTCACTACAATATTGAGGATCTGAGGGATGCTAGTTTTATGGGGAACCTGATGAGGCAGGTGTAGAAGAAACAATGGGCATAGAAATTAAAGCAGAAAGGTATTACATTGCATTGATAGATAAGGAATCAGCATTGGACCTGTGCCACTATACTAACTCTTGAATCTTCTCGCTGTGGTCCCACTTTTTATACTGCCTGTGTAAGTTACTACTTTTAATAAATTTGTACATGTTTAATTGCTACACCATGAGGGCTCTCTCCTTTTTTTATTCCTAAAATATCGTTGGACCACGGCGACAAGTTTCGCTAACACCACATCTGAGAAGATCCATCTTTGCACTTCTGGAACACCGTCAGCGCTGCAAGGGAGAAGATCAAACACTCACCCTACTGGGTCTCAGAGTGGAAACAACCGGGTCCAAAATAAAAGCGTGATCGTAAGCCCAAGTGCCACTAACCAAAAGCCTTCTTCTAACTCCATTTGGTGAGTACCCACCCAAGAGGGGTTGTTGGACTACCACTGAAATATACCATCAACTTTTTTTCCTGTACATGTTTCCTATGGCTTTTTTTTACCTCCCACTGAACACTGCACTCCGATGATTTAATTTTTTTTTTTATTGTGTGGATCGCCTACATATTGTTACATATCTTTCATAGACCTTTTGATAGGTCATCATGTTTCTTTAAACACTTTTCTTGATGATTTAATGCAACAATTTATTACATTTTGACTAACATTTGATACCATCACTAGTTAATAGACTTTCACATAGTGACTAATTTCCTTTGTTGTTTCAATGCTGTCTTGTTTTTCACAGTTCCTTTGATACAATTGAGTTATTTAGTTCTTCCTTTTTCCAAGATTACATGCAGGATTTCTTTTGATTTATTTAATATTGGGTATAGGCTAAATCAATAAGGATAAGAGTCACCAGCACTCCAACTATGATATAACTTTGTCTTTTATTGATACAAGTCTATCATATCAGAAAGTAAATTACGTTTTGGGCCTGCATAATATTCAGTCAGCCAAAGACATGGTCTGTATTTTTACTTTCTAGCTACACTCTATGACCAACATGGTACCAAACTTTATTGTGATCAATTTTCAATACTTTTTCATTTGACCAAGTTTTTGGCACGGCAAGGTTCATGGCACCCATATACAAGACAGCAAACTGGCAGTACACTAATGTTTTAGATAGGCTGAATCGAAGAGTCGAGGAGAAGCAGGAGGGGATAAGTATTTCTACATACAAACATATGTAACTGAAGAACATTTAAAGGAATATATGGAATACCAAAGCAGGCTATAATCCAACAATTAGATTGTACTTGAACTTTCTATCTTAAAACCTCCACACAAAGTTTCTAAAAATGAGACTAGCAAAGATTTCATCTTTAATTAAAGCAGGAACCTAGAGAAGCATATCTTCCAGAGCACTCAAACCTGAGGTGCTCAATATGCAAATATTGACTTCCTTTTCTGAGTTTAGAGCTTTGGTCTGCCCTCTATAAGACAGTGAGACCCAGACCATGTGAGTCCAACGTGTTTCACATAAAAGCTCCACACAGAACCAAGGATTGGCCTAAGAATTATACTAAATTACGCTAACAAACTCAGGGATGGGTCAACGGGGGGCAAGGTCACTTACCTAATTGTAGGTTCAAAGTCCAGGCGAAGATTTTGTGATGGTCTGAGGAGGATGGTCTCGCTGAAGTTAGTCGGAGATCCGATGAAGAGAGAACTTACCACCCACCCGCTCGAACACATTGTTTGTGGTCAGTTACTGTCAAAGCAGTGTTGGCGTTTTTGGGGTCTTTTGAAGGCAGAGTACATAGGTGATGGTGGTTAATGTTTGGGGATCTGTCTTGGTATGGGTCTTCAAGTCATAGTGATATATGGTGGTTGAACAGGCAATTGAGATATGGAGGTGTCGGCAGTCGATGTGTAGGTTGTCCCCGAGGCGGTGTGGTGCGGCTGGGGGCCTAACTGATTCAAGGGGTTCAGCAGAGACACCATATCTGGTAATAATTTGGGCCTTCAAAAGACCTTAAAAATCTCATGCTGAATTGTTCCAATTTTTGTTAAGTTTATTTTTGTTAATTTGTATAATAAAAGGCTGCTATGGCCATTCAACTCCATGAAAAGTGTGGTCTATTTTATTAGGTTGAAGAGGGAGGTTTGTGGTTCTAGTAATCTTTGTAACTAGGGAATTGGGACATCGGTTCTACATTAGTCATGTACAGTATGTGGTCATTTGTGCCCATTTTGCTGAAAGAACATTTGTGAGGTCAGGTACTGGTGGACGAGAAGCCCTGGCTTGCAATCAATGTATCGATTCATCCCAAAGCTGCTCAGTAGGGTTGAGGTCAGGGCTTTGTGTAGCCCACTCAGGTTGCTCCATATAAAATTAATCAATCCATATATTCAAGAAGCTTACTTTGTCCACAGGGTCATAGTCATACGGGAGCAGAAAAGGTCCTTTTGCCACATGGTTGGAGGCGCACAATTCTCTTAAATATCTTTGTACCCTGTAGCATTAACAAAACTCTTCACTGAAAACACCTGAACTCAATAATTTGGAGGGGTGTCCACATACGTTTGTCCGTTAAGTGTACACACATCTAGCTGGCCAGCAGAGGTCACTGTCAGGCTTTATACACAGCTTGTAATAAAACCCTAGGATAATTATACACGGAGCAGTGATGAAGTAGATGGAGCTGTAGGGAAGAACACTAGACCAGCAAATCCTTAACTCTACGGAGCGTATGATCGATGCGCTGGCACCTCAGGCCGGGCAGATACATGGAAGGCAGCTCAAGGTCACACAGGGAGCTGACTGCAGGATCCGGATGTTCATTATACGCTGACATTACCAGCGACCCATACCTGCCACCTGTTTTCTCTATGTTCTCTAACTGCGATCACTACCGTCAGCCGGATAAAGCCAATCATTGTTAAAGGAGGACTCTGAGCAAAAATATAAAGGGGAAGTTATAAGAACTGGAGCAGACTAAATCTGGAGCAGCTGTGCATGGCAACCAACAAGCTTCTCTCTTTCATTTTCAAATCTTAAATGAACAAACTGAAGAGAGATGCCGATTGGTTGCCATGCACAGCCGCTCCAGATTTTGTCTGCTCCAGTTTTGATAAATTCCCCTCAATATATTTAGCAGGAACTCTTGAAAAGAGAGCTCTATTTGGGCTTATTTTTGAAAATAAAACTAACATTCTATTAAAGTGGAACTGGAACTCAAAAAGGGAAGATTTGCAATGTTCGAGGGAAAATTTAGAAATGGTGAATGTGCCTAAGCAGTATTCTGAAAAATCTACCCTTATCTGGAATTCCCCCTTAAAGTGACATTAAAGGATCATTTTTCCCCCCTCCCCCAATGCTAATGTTAGCACTTACCTTAAATGATGTCTCTTAATCCGATTTTCTTCTTCTTTCCTGATGTTTTCATCTGTCCCTCCAGCGGTGCGGCGGCTCTCCGATCCAGTGCTGACTGATTCTCGGGCGGGAGCGCGCAGCAAAGACAAGGTAAGTTTAAACCGCTGTTAACGCGTTTAAAAAAAAAAAAACAGTTTGCCTATAGTTACTGCTTGATAGCAGTAGCTATATGCAAAAAAAAACAGAGGGTTTAGAACCCCTTTAAAAAGCGCAGTGCATGTCCTGATATGTAATGGTGCCTAGACTTTCCTGTGCCTACTGCTTTATACTGTATATATGCAATATGACATCTAAGACACTGCTGCCTCTGACAATGGTGAAGTCACTGCCATGCTGCTCACTGTTCTCCTTGCTGGAGGCCCTGACATGAGGAAGAAGGCCACCTCTGGATCAACATAGGGTAATTGTGGGCATAGTGTTCTGTTTAGGCTTTTCTTCTTTTTTTTTTTCTCCGTATCTCTATAGGTTGAACTCGATGGACTTGTGTCTTTTTTCAACCTGACTAACTATGTAACTATGTAAGGCATGGTAAGTCAGTGAAACCTAACCTTTTTTTGCATGGGGGTAATGACCCTCTCTGTGCAGCAATTACACCCAACACCGTAGCAGAACCTTGGCAAACGGAGTACTAAGACTCTGCTAAGTGGGAATTTAGGGCAGTGTCTTTGAATTAATGAATCTATGGTCCCTCCACCCATGAGGACCTTATAAGGATTAGAGGGACTACTTCCCATAAAAATCTTGTCACAAGAGTACATCAAATGTACACTTTCTGTAGATAAAGCAATGCAGGTCCGGACTTGAATGCAGTTTAATTGTTTAAGGGAAGAATACATTTCCCTTAAAGTTCTAGAATACCTTTGGTTTTTTTTCTAGAATACTCAAAAAAGCTTTCTTTTACATTTTGGAATTGTCCCTGTCACTGCCCGCTTCTTACAGCGCTTCTTCAAACCTTTGGTCTGGGAGCATGCACACAAGCACCATCCAATCCCCTGACGCTGGGACTACATGTCCCATGAAACTTCATGCACAAGATGAGCTGTCAGTAAATAGCTACTGGGCAGAGCAGACGTCCACTAACTGTCATAGGTCTGTGCCACCTGTGCATGTCCATGCACAGAGCAGGTTTCCTTCCCTTGGTAGACCTGTGCTGAAGCATGCATGTTGGTTTGGCTACGCTGGAACTACATGGAGCCCCTGCAAGTCATTGTAGCCACCTGAGAATTAGAAGTCCTTTGACTTGATCTTGAGTTGAATAGATGGGACTATGAAGAAAAAGACTGAGCATGTAAGAGAAGTACTAGGTGTGGCTACAGCACTGTATGATAAAGTCTCTTGGGTTTAATAATACTTTAATCATGAACTCGATAGGAGGTAGGACAGGATAAGGACAAATATCTCAAAACTCAATGGTCAGGCCTCCGACAACTTCTAAGCCTAGAAGTTGCTGGGTGGGTCTAAGCATCTTGAAGCATCACACAGAACTTCTCTTAAAGCATTTAGCCCCGTGAAACTGGAGCTTCTAGTGTCTCTATGCTCGAGTGACGACTCCAACTTTGAAGAGAGTTAGGTCCACATGGCCTTCAGACACACTTCTGAATAAGCCACACTTTACCGCTCTCAAGGGCCCATCCAGAAAAGGGCTCAGCTGCTTTGTCAGAGCCAGAGCCTTGGGCAACCTACTAGTGACAAGCTCTCCAAGTAATGGCTAAGTGACAAGACAGGCAAAAGATTCCTGATCACATCCCTAAGGGCCCTTACACACCAGGGCGGTTGCGGATCAGCACGGTTACCGCGCTGATATCCAAAGGGAGGTTTTGGGAGTTTTTCATTTTCTTTCAGCACTGAAACGCATGTAAAAACTCCCAAAACCGCGCTGATTAGCACGATTCCATTGAAAGCTGTATGGAAACCGCACCGATCAGCGCGGCAAAAATAGTGAAGGGAGTAGTTCGTGCAGGGGCGGTTCGGATCCCACTGAGCCGCACGGTCGCATGAACGGTCCCCATAGCAATGTATAGGATCGTTCATGACGACGGATCCGCACGCCCGAACCGTCCCGGTGTGAACGGGGCCTGACTCTGGAGCCTCCCTTAAAGAGCAACTGGCAGACACATACAAGTACAGGAAGCCCAGAACCATGACCCAAGAGAGACCCGACAAAAATACAAATACTTGCAAACAGTAATAGCTGGGAAACACACATCCCTATGTCCGTACTAGGTAAGGATAAGTTGGTGGTGACTAGCCTTTTGCCTTTTTTGGGGTACCGCTTCCAAAGTTCAATTGCCCTTTAAAATTTTGGGCCTGCAACAGGTAATGAATAGTAGCCACTACACTCAATGCAATTCAGAAAATAAGAACTTTCACATATCCCAGCCTCCCCTTCCCTTCTGTCTTCCTTGCTGCTGATTGCCTGAGATCTCCTCACAAAGACTGAATGCGATCCAGTGGACCTTTACAGTGCATTAGCTCTTTGAACGTAATGTATACATACAAATAACGCTAGTTTGACATTTTAACCTTTTCCATTTTTTCTGGTGCTTTAAGAGCTGTCATCAAGGGCCCACCATTGCTCATTGCCTGAAGTGTAAACCTAGTCTTTGATGTATGGGGAAATGGCCCACGCAGGGGAAAGGTAAGAACTCCTGTCGTTTTTATTTCCCATTAGTGTCCCATTGGGAAGCATCACCATCAAACCTGTTCTGTAAGCACAACAGTTGTAATGACAGTTGTGGGAAATGACAGTTGAAGCGAAAAAACGTTCCCACTGAAAGATTTGTGCTCCATTCCTGTGTTCAGTGACAACTCAAAATGATTGATTTTCCCATCACTCTCTGTACTGGAGAGTCATTGGGACAAACAGAGAGGGTGAATCTACTCCCAAAGAAAGGCAGCAAAAAGTGGCTTTCGATACACTTTTAAAACTCAATCAAAATAAAATGGACCCCAAACAATTACAGTTTTCTTTAAACTGCACGCAGTCTTCAGAATGCAATGCTTAGTGCAATAATGCTCCATTAAGCAGCGTCTACTGTCCTGTAAGCATGTTTACAGTGTGCATAGCAATAGGGTTCTGATTGGCTCTCACTGCTGCCTCCCTCTCACAGTCTGATTGCTACAGTGAAGAAATTATAGGAAGTTGATGTTAAGAAAGGTCTAGATACTGTTGCTAGCTGTATGCAAAAAAGAAACATTTTTACTGAATGTATAACTGGATTAAAAGACGTTGTTTTATCTGGCCGGGGTTCACATTTACATTTTAATTAGCTGGATGAAAAGCTCACCTTTTTCTAGATCCACTGGGAATATATCAAGCTTTTCCACGCGTTTCTCCAGCTCATATTCCGCCGAAGCTGCTACTGGGTCCACTTCATCATTCCGCCGGTCATAGTCTTCGTTGGAGTATGTGTTGAACACCTGATGAAAGAAAACAGATTTTTACTTGGAACATCTGAAAATCATTTTCTTCATATCAGAGTGGTAGCATGGATTGATGACATAATCGTCCCGCGAGATCCACAATATGAGTTATTGCAACAATTAGACAACACATTACTGAGTACGAATACCGGAGAGGATTCCAAGAAGGGTTCATACTGTCCCAATTTAAAGGAACAGTCCGCTCAACAAAAAATATAGGGGGTTATTGACAAAGCTACCGAAGCCAGTCGAGTGATTAACCCAGCCGAAGAGAAGTGAGCTGAACAATGTTCGGCTATTCACTCCGGCTCAGTACAGCTGATTTCAGCCGTACATCGTCTGCCTTCGGCTGCACTTCGGTCAGCCGAACATGCTCTGCAACACCGACTGAGCCGAAGCTCCGTGAGCTCGCTCACTACCGTTCGTCCCTATTCTCATAGGGGCCCAACGGCAGTGATTGAATAGTCGAGCGGCATTCGGCTCGACTATTCTGCTCGGTACCTCCGCGGTACTGAGCAGAATGGAAAATCAATGAAAATTGTTTTTTTTTTAAAAGGTTGAAAAAATATTTTTTAAATGTTAATAAATAATATAATAATTAAAAAAGAAAGATAAAAAAAGAAAAACAAATAATTAAAACAAACAAAACAATTGGGCGGAGCTCGCTGTGACAGCTAGCTCAGCCAAACTGTTTCCTATTGGCCGGAACCTGCTAGAGTCTTCTAGCAGGTCACTGCCAATGAATAACAACTGGGCGGAGCTGGCCGTGAGGTCACGGCTGGCCCTGCCCAGCTGGCATCTGCAGGGGTTTACGGCCTGCCTTCGGCAAGCCGTTCGCTCCACTTTGGGTGTCACTTCGGCTCAGTCGAGCCGAAGCATGTGCCTTCGGCTCGGCTAAGCCGCTCGGCCGCCTTTGGCTGCTGTACGGGTCACTGAACCGAAGGGCTCCGGCGGCCGAAGAATCAGCCGAAGCCAAGGCTGGATCGTTCGGCTCCTTCGTGAATAACCCTCATAATGTTTTCCAGTAGATGCTGGGGAGTTAAATTAACTGGCAGTTTCTTATTTTCCTTTGAGGATTCTATTGGAGAGCTCTGTGTGCTGATTTCCTGGGTCTGCACATCAATTGTGCCCATTATAAGGTGTTCCCACTACACTGGAGTACACTAAGCGGGGACACCCAAAGTGGACAGGAACAGAGCCAGGAATTATGACCAGGAGAATCCTAGAAATATGACATTTCAGGGGATGACTTAGCCAACCAGTCTATAGCCATATGTTACTTTTGGGTGTGCTTTTATTTACAAATTTACACTTTTTCTTTATAATGACAAGACAACATGGACTGCGAAAATAAAAAAAATCTGCCCTTGCAGAGGGGCTCCCCCCTGCACTGCAAGGTTTAAATGCTTGTTTTTGTCTAGGGTGCCATTAAAAAGCACTTCACTCCCACAGGCTCCTCCTCTTTGTGCGACCCGTTCCTAAGCTCATCTAGCCAAAACACGCGTTTTACTTTATCAGTTTGTATTATGTTATTTCAGAGAGATATAAGAATGATAGGTTGATGATCCCATCATTGAGATGATGATGGGTCAAACCACCCAAAACTGAGATGCTATTTTGGAAGGAGTTGTCTGTTCATCATCACACCGTTCAAGTAACTTGTTTGGAACTCTGGGTAAACATGGCCGAATACATAGTTAAAGTGACACTAAACTCAGGAGTTAAATCTTAAAAATACATTTAAGTACCCGAACTATTAACAAAAATGTATCTTATTTGTGTATCACTCGGCTGTAGATGCTCCAATCATCTCTGAATTGGAGCTGACACTGTCCTTCCTTCTGGAGGGGGGCTACTTTTCTTCCCCATGGTCCCTGTGTGTGTTGTAAAGTAGTCACCGCTCTAAGCTCACTCCCGGGATGGACTACAATCTCAATACAAATTAGTAAACTAAACATGAGATTGTAGTCCATCAGCGAGCTCGGAGCGGTAACTACTTTACAACACACACAGGGACCATGGGGAAGAAAAGTAGCCCCCCTCCAGAAGGAAGGACAGTGTCAGCTCCAATTCAGAGATGATTGGAGGATCTGCAGCCGAGTGATACACAGATAAGATACATTTTTGTTCATAGTTAGAGTATGTGAATGCATTTTTAAGAGTTCAGTGTCACTTTAAAAAAGATAGACTATGGTATATTTTACTGTTTTATCTTTGCAGGTTTTTGTTATTTATACAATGTTCATTAGTCAGGATGATCACTCTGCTACTTTGTGGTTTACTAATGCAGCTTCCTGGCTCATCGGACAGAGGTGATCATGTGGACTGGCTGCCCAATGAGGAGTCTGGAGGCGGAGCGGTGACACAGGAAACTGAATTGTTGAGCCAGAAACATATTTATTATTTGTGTATTTAGCGGTTTGCCTTCAGTATAGTAAGAGTTATTTTCTTGTACAATAAACCTATCTCTACAATGACATAAAAGGATTCTGGAATCATTGGATGAGCTGATTCAGGCGGGGATCTTTGGGTACATCTTTTTGCATCCTGGCAGTGAAGGTTAGTGAGGCTTTAGGTAACAGGCCGAGCCTGCCAAGTCTTCTTGCTGGGTACAGGCCAATCTGTCAGATGGTTTCCCATAAAATGCATCTAAAGTGCTTCCTGCCAAATATTCATATTCATTTATAGCAACATCATGCCCGGGGGGGACCTCTCATTATAGCCATAGATGTGACTTCAGGCTGCTATAGTCTCTAGCACCCATCTGAAGTCACTATGCTACTTAGAGGGCATCTCCACCTTGTTGTAAAATCTTTTTTTTTTTTTTCTTAAACTGCCACACCGAGCACTTAGTTCTGCAGCAGATCACTTTGATGGATCAGATTGATGGGACAAGAACTCTAACCTCTCAGTTAGCTGGCAATGTTGGCAGTTGCATATCGTGGGGAGTGGTTAGAGCCTCTGTCAGTTTTATTTCTCCTTGTGTCCCTATTTGTGAGATTTCCTCTAGCTTCCTGTATTGTGACAGGTGTGACAGGTGTCAGACAGGACATATATAACAATCAAACCTGACACATGGTAATCATTCTATGCAGTTGTGGGTAAATCCTGCTGATCTGACAGATACAAATCTGATTGTGTATGACCAGCTTTAGCCGCACCCTCGATCTCAGGCTGAACATTTCTCCATCAGCTATAAGTCCTACCGTCTCCCTTCCCGCTATGAGACCGATGGGGAGCTGCAAGTCTACACCAGCGGCTGAAGGCGACCTAAATATAAACCAGCCACAAACTCATCCCAATCACCAGAACATCGCCAGCGATTCGTGTAACGGGGTGACCGTCGGCAACACGCAATGATTAGCAGAGCCGAGCCGTCACTCACTCGTATTGTTCCCGGTGAAGGTTAGGAAGCGCCATTTGGTATGTCAGACGGCGTGCCTGGATAATGAAATGTAGCATCCCGGCATTTCAAGGGATTATCTGGCCGATAAACCACCCAAACGGCGTAATAACTTTGCTTCTTTGAGAGTGACGGGCAATAAAAAGGTACAATGGACGGGCACGCGGGAAATGAAAGGACAGAGACGGGCAACCTGCGGCACCGAAGCTTGTAACCGAACTTCAAACACGATCAATGGCTTCTCAGTGTCACACACCCCCGCCATCATGATATGACTTGTCTACCTGTCCTGAATGGCGGGATAATACTTAAAGGGTATGTACACCCCAACAATGAACTGTTCCTTATGTGCTCCCTCCCTATTGGTCTGTTAAATCTACCACTGAAAGCGTTATGTTTTATTCGTGCAAAAAAAAGCCTCTGATGATCCAAACCAGAGATCCAGTGAGCTCATAAAGTCCGCTGAACTCTGCCTCTGCTGCACAAAAATCTCAAGCATTGTGATAAGCCCTGCCCACTTCTCCTCTTTAAACTACAGAACATACCCCCCATCATGTTATGGAGATGAGGAGAGCGGGGAGGTGATATGTAGTCCAGGAGCGAGCAGCCTAGGATGGAAGCTACACTCTTACATTGGTATAGCACAGTAAAACCAGGTGAACATATAAGGAAAAAGAAAACGAATGAAGCCACCCCATCTAAAGACGGGTACGCTCGCTGATATTTGTGTACTTAAAGGGAACCTGTCACTGTTTTCATAAGGACAACGTGTGCTAGGTGGCAACCAAAGTTGGCTGCACATAGCTTAAAGCTCAATTTCAGGTACCTCAAAAAACCCAAATAGCACAGTGGCTAGAGTAAATGATCTTTTTATTTTTAAGTGGGCCGACACAGATCAGCCTCTGCTGCAGCTTCCCTCCTTATGACTTGCTACAATGTTACAATCTAATTACTAGTAGAGGGGAGACTGAGGAAATGCTTCCTCCTGCCAGCAGCAGACTGATCACTGGGGGAGGGGAGACTGAGGAAATGCTTCCTCCTGTCTGCAGCAGACTGATCACTGGGGGAGGGGAGACTGAGGAAATGCTTCCTACTGTCTGCAGCAGACTGATCACTGGGGGAGAGAAGACTGAGCAAATGCTTCCTCCTGCATGCAGCAGACTGATGACATCATCTCAGTCGAGGCCAAGTCACTGGACTGGAGCAAAGGGACTTCTTTTTAAAGAAGAAATCCGGGGAAATGATTATTAACCCTTTCAGTGGGGCTCTCCCCATACTGCAAGGGTTACCCCCATACTGCAAGGGTTATCCCCATACTGCAAGGGTTACCCCCATACTGCAAGGGTTATCCCCATACTGCAAGGGCTCTCCCCATACTGCAAGGGTTATCCCCATACTACAAGGGTTAAGTGCTTGTTTTGGTCTAGGGAGGAAAGTAACAGTTATACTCACCCGATCCTCGGAGCCGGCTTGCTCTTAGACCGATCCTTCCGGCCTCTCTGCTCCTCCGCTGCAGTGGTCTAAGTGGTCCCGTGATTCATCAAGTTCTATACACTGTGTATTGGACGTGAGGACGCCAAGGGACATACCATCG